ATTATTTTATAAATAATTAATTATTTTTAATAATTAAATTATAATAAAAATTTAATAATTCTTTAAAATCTTAACAAATGAACTAGGGATCAAAATCATATCACTTGATCCATGTTCCTAACAATCCCAACCACCGTTCGTTGACAACACAGGCTTAAAAAACTTAATGGACAGCTTGGTTGGAGAAACTTTTCCTCTACAATTTATCAAAATTTTCTTTTTACAATATTTTTTAAGTATTTTTATATGTTGATATTATAATAAAATAAATCTAAAAGTAATATTTTTAGGCTCTATTTTTATGATATAATTTTTAATTAATAAATTTTTATATATAAGAAAAAGTTTCTTTTAATTTTTACTATGTAAAACTAATTTGATAATTTTTTTTATTAAATTTTTCTATACAAATCTTTTACCATACACAAAAAAATTAATAACTTAATAAAATTTTAATAAAATTCATAACAAAATTTATTAATCCCTTTAAAATACTTTACTTCACGATAATATATAAAGTTTTAAAAAATTTTAAAGTTATTTAAGACAAATTAGTAAGTTAGTTTATAGGAAAGTATTCTTCCCTCTTGCAAGCCCTATAAAGCCATAGAATTAAACTTTATAATCAACCGCCATTCTAACGGTTGGGAGTAGGCCCAACACCCGCATAGCAAACCCGTTTATATGTTCAGAAGCCCAATGTAACCCCGAATGTGGCCACACTTACCTACATATACCTGCATGGGTGGTGACACGTGGGTTAACCAGGTTATTTACATGTGGGACTTTATGTCATCAAAAAGGATTATAAGTACTTCCATCTACCCTTATTCAAAGGTAAGAACTAATATGCATTTCTCTCTTTGCAATTACTCTTCTTGAGAATCTCTTTCTAGGATTTTGAGTATTGTTAACTTGAACATCAAAGTATCATCAGAAGAAAACATCCTTAAGTTTTTTAAGTGTTGAAATAGTTGAAGATTTCTACAATGTAAGTTCATAAAGCTGCCAAAACGCTAACAAAAGCCATTTGTGTGGAAGCAGAGTATAAGTGAAAAAATCCTCTTTTCTTATAAGCAAATGGCACACCCAACATTTATATCTACCTCGTGCTATTTTAGGATTTGATTTAAATAGTTTCTATATCAATGTTATTTATTTTAAATGATGTATAAATGTGGAATGAGCACTAAGTCTATAGTCTTCGGTGGGGAAAAAACCAAAAGAAGATATAACTACAAAAAAATAAAAAAGTTTGATCAACCGAACCTGTAAGCACAAAATATGAAATTGATGGGCACCATTAATTTTATTAAAGTTATTAAATTATTAAAATTTTATTTTAAATTAATTATTTAAAAAATTGTTTTCATCAACTAAGAAAAAAAATTTTATTGATCAAAATACAAATACTATAAACGCATCAACATCAAGCAAGGGGAACACACTCTGGGACTCCTTAGGGAGCAATACGAAAGAGTGAAAAATGGACTATACTAGCCTGGCACACAGTCCCAAAAACAGCCACCAATCACTGAAGCTGAAGATGGTATGAGCATATTTAACCTTGATCCGTAAGAAGGATTTAGACTGGATTTAGTTTGGATGGCATCAAAGAATCATCAGATAGCCCACAAAACTGTAACAATGGCGAGGGACCAGCGAGCCCAAATGTGATTCAAGTGTGGGCCGTAAACCAATTGAAGAAGGAAGTGGACAGCAGACTGGGGAGCGACCACTTGGTAGCCCCACCGTCGACAAACCCGCCGCACCCATAGTGACAAGACTCTTTTGCGGTGCAGGGAAACGTGATCAGCATGACAGCATCCACCTGACCGGCTGACCCCTTGGCAGAAAGTACAATCAAGTGAAATACCGACGCCCTGTAAAAAATGAGATTTGACAGCAACAAAGGGTTGGATCAAGTGATAAGCCACTTATTTCAATATAAGTAAAATTTTGAGTTCGAGACTTTGTGTACACAGTAACTTTTATTGGGAGATTCACCCATCATTTTTAAGTGCATAACGTGGGTCGATCCGAATTAATTAAAACAAAACCCTGAATACCGAAAGGAAAACCGAAAAGAAAGAAAAAAAGAGATTTAATCTTTATCGGGAGTCGATCAAGAAAAAATCGCCAAGCAAGCACATATACCTTTGAGGGAGCAAACTTGGAATGTAAAAAGTTGCTGATTATTAATATTTATTATTTAATATATTAAATTTAATTTATAAATAAATATTTTAAATATTACAATTAATTATTTTTAAAAAATTTATTAATTTATAAAATTATAAATAAAATTAATATCTTTAATAAAATTAATAATAACTATAACTTAATTTAAAAATGATACATGAATTGCATACAGAACAATATATAATTGATTTAAATTTTAGTAAAAATTATCTTTTTAGTCCCTAAGAAAAAATAAAGAGCTCTCTTTAAAAAAGACTAAAACTACTTTTAATTAAGAAAGGTGGAAAGATTAAATAAAATTTTTACGTTCCTTTAGACAAAATAAAAAAAATGAAGACAGGATTTCAGCCGTTTTTCACAATCGAACCTTTTTAAGTAAAAGATAAAAGAAACAAAAAACCATATACCAAGGAAGGACGAAAGGTGCATACACTTGGCTAACGTAATTATTTTTGGTTAAATGTTAATTTTAATCTTTTAAT